AAAGGCTAATTACAAGGTATTCATTACAGGAGAACCTTTCCAAGAAGTCACCCGGGAACTAAGCAAATCTGAGACCTTTATCGTCCATGATTCCATAATTCAAATTATTATTAAAAACGCGGTACCTTTTTAACAAACTAACAAGATTTTAAACTAATTCTGCTGGCAGCAACGACTTTCAGAATTTCCTTCGAAATTTTCATTCCTAGAAAATAATAATTTATTTGCCATATCCACCTATTTAGAACCTCGCTACAAGCGCACATTTTTCAAACCAGTCACAGAAGACAGGATTAAAAATGAATTACAAAAACTAAAATCGAAAAACGCTGATGACGTAACAGGTTCTCCAAATTTTGAAACAACCAAAAGAATTGGTGCTCCAAATTGGAACATAACGGTGTTTAAACAACGATCTTGCCATGATGCTTGATTGTGAAGATGAAAGTCTGGAGGATGCATCCGACATTTTCAGCCCCGATGCAATTTCCAAAAAGGAATTGTTGCACCGCAATAAAAAAAAAATATAACTGAAAGTTTTCTCAACTGGTGCAGCGTCAATCGAAAAGAATTTACACTTTTGTCAAGTTTCAAGTTTTTNTACTAAATAAAAAAATATTATTAAAAATTAATAACTTTTCAATTTTTTATTTACCTAAATCTCCTAATGTACTCACCAAATTTATTTCTTAAAAATATTTGACATCCGCATTCGCATTCGCATCCGCGAATGTTAGCTTTTAAACATCCGCATCCGCATTCGCATCCGCGGATGTCTAAAATTCCACATTCGCAACATCCCTGGTACATATATATCAGTGATGGGCAGCGCACTATGTTCTGTTTTGGGAAAAAATGGACAAAATCAAATATCTCCCGATCCAAACCAGATAGAGACACAAACTAAACGGTATTATAAAGCCCAAATACTGGTGAATACGGGAAAATTATTCAGATTCTTCATAAACAGTTTCCTGACCTTGAATTCTAAGGTCAAAGTTCAACTAAAAAAAAAAATTTATATATAAAAGCAAATATCTAGCGATCGAAAATTAATAGAGACCTAAATGAAATAGTATTTTTAACTCCAAGTATTGCTGAAAAGAGCCAACCTGTTTCGATTCGTCAAAAACAAATTTGCTATCGTGAATTCCGAGGTCAATGGTCAACAAAAAAAAAAAATTTCTGATTTAAACATACCTAAATGTTTTTTTAAATCGTTTTATGCGATATACATACATATAAATGCACATATGTATGTTTGATGGGTCATATCTATATATTTTTACATACATAACGTTAATATAGGGGATTATCTTAATCAACAATATATCTCTATGCTTCCGTTTTCAACACCATCAGAATCATGGTTTGTAGTAGCTCTGTAAAACATAAATCAATTCATAAACTATAATAACATGAATTCTGCGTGAATTTCATAAGATCTAAATATATTATCTCATGAAAATTCCTTGAATTTCTTCTGGAACATTTATAGTTTCTTTACGGAATTTCAAACGATATTTTAGGATCCGACAAGTAAATAGCTCGATTAAATACATCTAAAATTCTATGCTGTCTGCTGTCCTGACGAGCTTTCTCTTTCATGTTTCTTCTATTTAATTTGTGCCATGCCTTACTTGAATCTTTCAAAAAAAACTGTTCCAATGCATCTAAATCAATACAAGCTTCATTACTTTTTGTATCCATGGATTAGAATGAATCCATCCACTCATAAATTACTAAGCCATGGATGTGAGGTCTCTAGCAGTGTTGGCAAAATGTTAATCTGATTAACGATTAAAAATTAACTATTAAAATGTTAATCGTGATTGACGATTAAAATTAATTAATCGTAATCAACTGTACGATTAATGATTAAAGTTTTTTAATCGTTAATCGCTTGCTGCGATTACGATTAGTTAATTCACCAGTATTTGGGCTTTATAATGCCGTTTAGTTTGTGTCTCTATCTGGTTTGAATCGGGAGATATTTGATTTTGTCCATTTTTTCCCAAAACAGAACACAGTGCAGCGCAGGAAGAGCTCCATAAGCAAGTGCAAAAGTTGTCGGCCGCTATGGTGCAGTGGTAAGCAGTGCGCGCTGCCACTCCGCATCACCTGGGTTCAAGCCCTGGCCAAAGCAACATCTAAAAAAATATAGAAAAAAGGGTTTTTCTTAACAGAGGTCGTCCATCGGCAGGCAATGGCAAACCTCCGAGTGTATTGTTCGGAGTCGGCGTAAAACTGTACGTCCCTCCGCTTTGTGTGACAACATCAAGGCGCATGCCACAAATCGGAGGAGAAGCTCGGCCAAACACTAACATATGTGTAAGCGCCAATCATTATTATTATGATTTTAGCTACATATATATGTAAACTACGTTAAATTATAATATCATTCGAACGACACTTTCAATATTTACTTGAAATTCACGGGAATTTTCCATTTTTGAAGGGTTGTTACAGAATTCGCATAATACAACTTCGCACGGGTATATTTTACAGTTTGTACATATTTTGAGATTTCCAGAATTTAGAATTCCTTGAGGTGCGTCAGAAATTTTTGCGACTACCTTTTCCAAATCCACCTTCGATAAAAATTGTTCGATATTTATTTGGTCCTCTCACAATAACTTGGAGGATTTATCGCCTAAAATTTTTTTTTCTGGACCGGTGGCTGACAACCATCATTCAGAACTCGCAAAAGTTGTGTATAAATATCACCCTCTTCTGAGATTAGAAGCGAAAGAAAACGGAAGAAATTCCCGTTAATTGGTAAATATTTTCTCAATGCAGCATTAGCTTTCTAAAGCCGAATTGGCGCTCTTTTTTAAAGTGAAAACAGACCGTTCATTGAACATTTTCAAAAAATAAAGATCAAAATTAAAAAAGAACCTTGTAAGTTATAAGAGTAGTGTCAGACTTTGCTTCCATGGGCCAAAAATCGATCGAAGGTAGTAATTTCACGACATAACTTCCATGGAACTTATGTCACGCTTCGGTGGAAATTATGTCGAAACCCCATTTCTTTACGTTTTGTTTTGTCAAAACTAAAGAAAAATAAGTAAAAGTAAATCGTTCAGCAGAAGTGGTGCAGTGCAAAAACTTTGTTACTAAAAAGATATTTGGAAAATTTTAAATCGAGAGTTATAAGTAATCAACTGTATTAAACCCAATTATGAGATAAATTAGTTAAAGAAATATCTTAATATAGAGTTTAAAAACGAAATACGTATGTTGATATTGTTTAGCAATTTGATTGTTTATTACAGAGTGGCAACTTTAATTTTTTATACCCGAGCGCACTTGTGCACAAGGGTATATTAATTTTTTTCACATAACGGTTGTTTGTAACAGCCAAAACGAATCGAGATAGATATAGACAAATGTATACATAAATGATCAGGATGAAAAAAGAAATCGATGAAGCCATGTCTGTCTGTGCGTCCGTCTGTCCGTCTGCCCGTGTACACGATAACTCGAGCAAAAATTGAGATATCTCGACGAAATTTGGTACGTAGGTTTCCCTTAATCCAAGGTAGGTTGGTATTGAAAATGGGCGAAATCGGACTT